GAGGGTTTGGCAGCAGGCCGGGTGATCTGTTATCACACAGGGCATGCCGCTCCGCCACGGTCACCTCAGGACTCGATCATGAAGCTAGTGCTGAAGCGGTCTTCATATAGAGGAAGCCAAGCAGCTGCGTCAACCATATGCCGCAGGAGCCTCTGAAAGTTCTTTCAGTGGGACCCTTTCTCACTTCTAAATAGCACCAACCAAACACACTCTTTCTTGAAGAGACTTCTCCAAACTGAAAAGGAAATACTAAACCCAAGGGCGAGATACTCTCTTCCAGGTGACCTGAAGACCCAACTGGCTATGGAGCACTCGAAGGGTAGGACCTTGTTCTGATACTTCGCACCTTCGAATGCAAGAACACAGAATGATCTGTGGAGCGGAGGGATCGAGATCTGAAGTACTGTCCTTCAGGTCGAACGCTGCAGGCCATCTAGGGGACGGAGCATTTGGAAATACATATGCATTAGCAACTGAATGCAGGCTTTCGAAAAAGGGCCCGTTTCAGTTGACACAGGTCCAAGATGGCCATAACCCACCACTCTACGGTACAATGAAATACGGGTTAATAGAAACCGGTTTTCATATCGACTGGAGGAAAGGCTACATCGCATCCTTTGCCAGTAGGCCTTCGCCTTCGACCATCGACCACGTCCGGCGTTAAGACTGAAAGGGAATGATGATATTCATCATCAAAACACAACCATCGACACATAATCATATTTTCTTTTGAGCCATAACAAATGTGCTTTATAGACACTCAATTACAGCAGACAGAGAAAAAAGGTGTTAAAAAGTCAAGGATCAAGAGCCCAACTAAAGCAATCACTGACCACCATCAGGGACCACCATCTGGAGACTCTGCTTTTAGCTATTACACCAGCCACAGCTGGAACCACCTTCCAGAAGAGATTAGATTATTCTAAACTGTTTTAATTATTCTTATTTTAATTCCTTCTATGTAATGCACTTTGAATTACCATTGTGTATGAAATATGCTATATAAATAAACTTGCCTTGCCTATATGGCGGTTTTAATGTAGAACAGCAAGTTACTGTCAAAATCTGGCCATTTTTTTTTTTTTGCAATGCAGGCAGTCATCTCTTAGTTATGCAATAACTCTAAATAAGTACTTGACTACAAATCAGCTTGACAAATTATGAGTTTAAGAGTTTACAACATGTGCTACTACAGTATTTACTGTACATAGAATATTGAAAGTTCTATCTAAATTACTGCTATTGTGTATGTTTGAGCTTTCTTTTAAGTCTATTAATTGTAGAAATAAAAATAAAAAAACTACACATAATTTGTATCTTTGTTTCTTTGTACCATAGGCGAAAAGGAATCAGTATGGCACTCTTATTGTATATGTTTATTAATAATTATAATAATACGTAATAATACGATTTTAGTTAATGATTTGTTAGTGCATCATTGTGTCATGACTTTACTTGAGGGGGCACATCATTATTAATTTACTGTTAAATACAATTTCAGCCCATGATTTAATATAAACTTACTTTCAAATACACATGTATTCCAACTAGTAGTCAGCCCAGTTAAGTGATGTTGTGTGGCTTTTCAAAAAGTCAGAGAATGTAGGTACAGTATCATCACGGCCAGTGTCTGGATGCAGAGTGAACTGATCCCAGCAATCTTGGGGGAAGTGAATTAATTATCTGTCAGGTATGTACAGGGAAGTTATTTTGTACTTAAATGCTCTGATAGTATTCAGCATTTCTTGGAAGCTTGTCTCTTCCTTGAAGCTGCAAATGGAGACTGTTCAGATGACGTCAGTCAGAAAGGCCAGCTGTGTGATCTAGCATGGGTCTTCCAGCTCTTGGTTTTCCTGTTTGGCTATATTTTTGTGAACTGATTCCTCAGGAACTGTTGTCACTGTATTATTGGTTTGATGGAAAAGAGAATCTCACAAAACAGATTAGATAACAGATTTAAGATAAATTATTAGTATATTTAGTATTTTCCATGTTTGATAAGGAGGATCAGTGAAATCAATGACAAACTAATCCTGTGCCTTTAAGTAGTGTTTATGAAGCTGCTGATGTCAATAGTTTAAATTATGACTAATAAATTGTTTGAATGTATTTCAAAGTCAAAATATGTTTTAGCCTTAGGGAGCCTGATTTATTTAGTTTACCCCTAAACGTTAATTAATGCATTTACTATCAAACATGTACTAACATGTTTAAAGCTGCTGTTATTCATGCATGAATAATTATGACTCATGTTGTAGTTAAGGATCACTCTTCATTGGTTCATGATTAGTTCATATCTTCATCAATCATGAGTTCATGTAGAAGTAACAATTCATTTAGGTATTAGTACATGATTATTCATGCTATGTTATTGTAAAGTGACCCATTTTTGTGTAGAGTTTTGCAGAAAACATTGCGAAAATTGGAACGTATGTGAACGTCTTTGTTTTGAGAACTGAATCAATGGTTTGGGAAATTGGGCCAACTGAACCAGTTACACTGTTAAACTGTAATACTGATGAACCTCTGTCACTGAATTAACACAGAATAAACATATCAAATCCTCATAGAGACAGTTAAAACAGTGTGTGTGCGCACGTGTGCATATGGTCAGTAAACTTACCAACCAATATAAAAAAAGGTTTTACCTCTCATTTGATTTAGATGATAATGTTACATATTTATTGCTGGGTTAAGTTTTTTTTTTTTTTTTTTTTTTCCTAAACACAACAACAGTCCTCTATTAAAAAAGTTTAATGACGTAATTTCATGGAAACCCTGCCCTGGCATGACATTTTTTTTTTTTTTTATCTAAAATATGTTTTGTGTCTGTTTAGCTGGTGTTGCACAATTTGAGGACGTGTTTGACGGGACAAACACGTTTAAAATGTATCTGCAAGTGTGTGTGCAGTCCATTGTTACTAAAGATAAAGGTTTACAAACTTGTGAAATATACCACTTGCAATCAAGAAGAAGATTTCCAGAACTACTGATGTACAGAAATACAAACAGTACTTTCGTAATTTGTTGTACTCTGTGATCTACAGTAATGATGAGCAATCTCAGCTGTTTTCTGAGACATAAAATCAAGATTTCTTCAGATATAATTGAATTATGTTATATTCAACAATGAAAAAAAATATATAATTCTGTCATCATTTACTCACCTTCATGTCACTCCAAACCTCTAGATGTTTACAATAAACTCAGAAATTTTATGAATATAATTAATTAAAAATAATAATATTTGAACTTTAAAACTATAAATAATTTTTTGTCATTTAAAGTTTGGAATTATGAATATCCGTTTGTTATTTGGCATTTTGTCTTCATAGAACCTGTGTTGTGGTAAATGATTATTTTTGAGTTTTCTTATAAACATTTTCTAAGATGGACTATGAGGAAGTTATTTTATTGCTATTAATAATTTTATGAATCCACACATGTAAAAAAAAAACAATCTGACAAAAAATGAGGATTGGGACCCACTAGTACACCAACATGATCATTTGTGTCTTCTCACCCTGTCCTATCTCATTTCTCTTTCATCAATTCCACCTGTACTTCATCATCATCATCATTTCTTCTCAGCCTTTCTCCATGATCCTTGTTTTTTCTTTGTGTTTCTTTGGGTTTTCACAGATGAACACATCTTTATATATGCAAATTGGTAAATGGCATGTCATGTATTGTGTGCATGACTAAGCCAGCAGATATCCGAAAAACAAACCTGGAAAACCTGAACACTCTTCAGGTTACAACTGTAACCCTACTTCCCTGAGTAGGGAATGAGACGCTGCGTCGATGACGCTTTGGGAACGGCCCTGCGTGATTACGTCTGAAGCAAATGTGTCAACTAATCCAATGGCGAGAATGAGGCGGGTGGACTTCAAGACCACCAAAGCAAGTCAATCTCAGGAATGTAGGAAGTATGGTAAAGTGATGCAGCGTCTCGTTCTCTACTGAGGGAACTAGAGTTACAGTCATAACTTGAGACATTCCCTTTCGAGGAAACTCACGCTGCGCCAATGATGCTTTGGGAAAGAGAACGGGAACCACGTCTGAGTCCAGGCTGGATGCGTGAGAGAGAACCAAAGTGGACAGTGTGTCGTATCCTGAGACACAAACAGATCCACCTGTGCCTGGCCATAAACTCCCCAAATGTGCTCCAACACCTCGGGGTGAAGCCTCCATTCCCCAAGCCTCAGGCTGCCTCAACAGGAAGTTTGCTCCTTTACTGAGATGTCCCGGAATTAAAAGTTATCTCGGTTGTTTAGTTTTCTTAACTTTATATCGCGGCTCTATCAACCCAAAGCCAGTATTTCACTGGGAATCACTTAGGATGAAACTTGCCGCATTCCGTTCGTATTGTGAGTTTGGTTGCCTGTTAATATCTAGTATTTACATACAGAATGTATTGGTACATCATTATTAAAAAAAGGAACGCAGTCTGTGTTCTCACTAAATTGCTCCCAAATGTACGACTGTTGTATCATAATAATAGTAGAATAAGTACCTTTTAGTTCTAGTAAGGGTTAATCATTTCAACCCTCTGGGGTCTGAGGTGTTTTCTGGGCCCTTCCAAACTGGTGATTTCATTCATAAGGTTTTTATATATTTTTATTTTTTGTACAGTCATAGGTTAAGAGGTTGACCTTCATGCTTAGTTCAACCTATAAAGAAAGTTGTTGTTTTTTCCGTATTCATCACATGACACAAATTCATTTGAAAACATAGCCTCATGTAATAGTTTTACTTATAAAAAACTAAAAGCACCTCACGAACCTTCTTCGATCTACTCAACATTAAAAAAATTTTAGTTTGCACAGGTGACAATTACGCATTACAGAGTCGCTAACATGTCTCTCATTACACTTTCAGACATACCGGTTGCTCAATAAGACACTTGAATGAACAATGAAGAAGTTTAGAAACGAAGAGAGGTGAAGGCGTTAGACTGTAATGAGAGTGTATGTGGGTGTGTTGTAAACAGGTTAGCAGGAGTATTTAAGAGCAGGACTGCAGGTGTCCGTGTTGTCAGAGATGAAGATGAAGATGATCCACATACTCAGTGTAGCATTTGTCGTCTCTCTTCTAATGAACGGTAAGACCTTTTATTGGATACTTTTAGGTTAACTAATGCGTTTTTACTAAAATAACTATTGCTTACTTTTATGTAACTACGTTTTATTTTGCAGGTACAGTTTTTGATTACACTTTATTTTAAGTTGTATATTGTTACAGTGTAATTATATATTTATGTACTAAGTGACATTGAGCAACTACATGTACTTATTATTTTGGGTTATGGTTTTATTAGGATTGATTGTGGGTTAGTTGCATGTAATTATGCATAATTTACTGTTATTACTAAGCAGAGGTGAAAAGAGTAATAAAATATTCCACTCAAGTAAAAGTGCGACTACGTCAAAGAAATTCTACTTAAAGGAGCTGTATGTAAGAAATGTATTTCAAATAATCATAAAATGACCCTGATATGTCACTAGACATTAAGAATTCATGTTCTTTTCAAACACTTATATCACTGACAGCAGTAGTCCGGCCAGGATATTGTCATTTAAAAAGTGAATTTGCAGCCCTCAACTGATGTTGATGTTGTCATGTTGTGTTTTGGTCTGATGCTCCACCCTCCACCGATCTACCAATCACGAAGTCAGTAGTGTTGCAGCATCTGGGTTGCCAGCTCTGCTCTAGTAACTACAGCTGCAGATACAAACATGTCGGATAAAAAAATGTTGGATCCTAAAACCTATCTGACAACCTCTACAGTAATTTGAAAGTGATTGCAGTACCAGTTTTGGCCACAATCTTACACACAGCTCCTTTAAATACAAGTAAAACTGGTCTAAAAATAGACTCAAGTAAAAAGTAGCTCATATACAATTTACTCAGAATCAAAATTACTGAGTTACTTTTTTAACAGCGTGGATGGGGTGGGGGACTCCCCTGTGGAGGGTTGTAAAGGTATGAGATTTTCATGGTATGATTTACAGTTTACGGTATTAATTAATTATCAAAAAAATAAAGGGTATTATTAAATCATCAGTTAAAGGGATAGTTCACTTTGAAATAAATGTTTGATATGTTTTAGCTTACCTCAAGGGCATCCAAGATGTAGGTGTCTTTGTTTCCACAGTATTTTCAATTTTGACATTTTTCGGTCAAACCATTGTTGTCTCCACGTCCACACAGAGAAGTCCAAATTAAACATGATTTAATGACTCGTAAATGTAAGTACACATTGATGTCCTAAGACATGAAACGAGCGGTTTGTGTGAGAAAACGAACAGTATTTATATCGTTTTTACCTCATGTAATCACAGCCATGTCCAACTGATCTGAATAAGTTATCCAATGTCCAACTGAACCGAACTGAACCAAGTCCAACGTTCCGCCCGAAGTGATCTCTTGCGCGTCTACGTCACTCATTGTTTACACAGAGATTTCGGAAGTTTTACCGTTCACTAAACATATTTAGATATATCGAAATCGTCTTCCATTGCGATTTCCTGTATATATGTTTAGATCTTCACAGTGAAAACTAAAACTTCCGAAATCTCTGTGTAAACAATGAGTGACGTAGACGCGCAAGAGATCACTTCCAGCGGAACATTGGACATGGTTCAGTTGGACATTGGATAACTGATTCAGATCAGTCGGACGTGGCGGTGGTTACACGAGGTAAAAACGAAATAAATACTGTTCGTTTTCTGACACAAACCGCTCGTTTCGTGTCTTAGGCCATCAATGTGTACTTACATTTACGAGTCATTAAATCATGTCACTAAGTCCCCTAAACCTGCATTATATGACTGATAGACAACAACGGTTTGACCGAAAAATGTAAAAATTGAAAATACTGTGGAAACAAAGACACCTACATCTTGGATGCCCTTGAGGTAAGATAAAACATATCAACAATTAATTTCAAAGTGAACTATCCCTTTAAACAGACTCTGAACAGTCTCTGACTAGGGCTGTGTATTGACAAGAGGCTCACGATACGATACATATCTTGATATATGTGTCACGACACAATAACACAGCCCTATTCGATAGGCATGACGTGAAGAGATTCAACTTTTACTATGGGTTTTTGCGGACGAGGAGGACTTGGACTTGGATAGACACGCAGAACAAGCTGATTTACATAGCAGTCTTTTTGCGCTTTCATGTTAACAGTTGCGATTTGATTTAATACACCTCTCTACTTTCGATTTATTCATCCATTAAACAGTTGGCGTGTTTTACATGGTATCTGTGTTATGTAGGACAAATTCAATATTATTCACTGGATTCCTGGATTCCCTCTGCATCACGGAATTCATTCTGCTTTAAGTTATAAACAGGACATACCTTTATCTGCACGGAGGGATGGTGTTCTCTGTTTCCTCCTTTTACATACACGTTTCGTCCACGTTTTTTTATTAATTGGATAACTATCCTCAAGGACAACCACATGTTTTTTTTTTTTTTCTACATCCAAATATTCCCATACTGGCAATGGTTCGGTTAATAAAATAATTCCACGGCGTTTCGCCTTCAGCTGGGTCTGCATCACCTTTGCACGTTTGTTCTCCCACCCTTTAATCAACGCACTAGTTTCAGGAGAGTGATTTATTTCCCGCTAATATTATTTTTTTACTCAGTAACGGGTGTGATTTAAAATGTAGCGAAGTAAGACTTCAAACAAAACGTACTTCAGTAAAAGTAAACTAACAGATTTTAAAAACTTAAGTATAAATACACAGAAAAAAAGTACTCAATACTTAACATGAGTAAATGTAATTTGTCACTTTTCACCTCTGTATGGTAGGTAACATATGTAACAAGAACAGTGTAAAATAAAGTGTTACCAACTTTTTTCTCCACTGAAATTATCGGTAACTAAACTTTGTTTCTTTTTCCTAGGGTGTGACGCACAACTGGATGGTAACTATTTTTTCCAACTATTTAAGTTGCCAAATTCCTATAAAAATGACCAATTGTTTGTCTAAAATGTGTTTTCCTTACCTTGTCCATTGTCAGTGTGTGGCAAAGCACGTTTCAACTCAAGGATAGTGGGGGGAGTGGATGCACTGGCTGGGGCTTGGCCATGGCAGGTCAGCCTTCATAGGAACGGGAGCCATTTTTGTGGTGGATCACTCATCAACAATCAATGGGTTCTGACTGCAGCTCACTGCTTTAACAGGTCATTATAATAAACCAGCCCTTGCAATTATTTAAAAAACTCATTCAACTGATGAGGAAAATGCTTAACACTTCCTTTTCTACCATATTCCAGTGTTTCAACCTCTGGCCTAATTGTGTACCTGGGCCGACAAACACAGGAAGGAACAAATGTAAATGAGGTGTCTAGAGGTGTCTCTAGTATCATAAAACACCCAAACTATGTTAGCAGCACTTTCGATAATGACATCACTCTTCTGCGACTGGCTTCGCCGGTGAATTTTACTGACTTTATCAGTCCGGTCTGTCTGGCTTCCTCAAACAGTATGTTCTTCAAGCAAACCTCCAGCTGGGTCACAGGATGGGGAACGATAAATTCAAGCAGTACGTATTTCATTTAACTAACCTCGAGCAGAGTCACAGGATACTTTACAATTGCAATAGTTGACGTTTATTTGACCATTGTATGCGTTCTCAGCTCCACTGCCTTCACCTCAAACTCTACAGGAAGTGGATGTGCCTATTGTTGGAAACAGGCAGTGTAAGTGTCTTTATAGTTCCTCAACAATCACAGACAACATGATATGTGCTGGACGAATAGAAGGGGGCAAAGACTCCTGTCAGGTAACAACTCCCACACTTCTGTTTGTTTTACTTCATAGTTTTAATGGGCTGGTAATATTCTGCAATATAGTTATAGTTTAGAATAAGTAGAATGATGGGTCTCTACTAAAACTCTTACTTTATCCAAATAAACTGATAATGTAACGGTTGAACTTTGTCTAATGCAAGGGAATTCAACCTAGCGAATCACTTTAAATACACTATTGGAGTAATTGCAATGTTCAGACTATCGAGATATTGTGTGTGTATAGTCATGTTGTAGTTTTCATGTGACAAGTCTTCCAACCATAACAGTGTAATTTTCAATGACGAGTCTTGATCTTCCTTAAAAAGAGAAGCACTAAAATCTTCGAGACATTTCCTAACATGAGACTTGACGCTTTAAACATGCAATAACAATGATGTCATTTTCCCATTATACCTTCATATTATATATTACAGCTGTGAACTACAACTGGAATAGATGTGTGGACCAGAATACTTGGCATGTAAATAACCTGTTCTTCATCCTACAGGGTGACTCTGGTGGTCCTATGGTCAGCAAACAGGGTTCGCTCTGGATCCAGTCTGGAGTTGTGAGCTTTGGCGAGGGTTGTGCTAAACCCAACTTTCCTGGTGTGTATGCCAGAGTTTCTAAGTACCAGAACTGGATCAATGAGCATATCACCACCAACCAGCCAGGCTTCATTACGTTCACCTCCAATGGTACTGATGGTGACCTGAGCATCAGCTGTACTGATGTGCCTGCCATTACCACAACTACTGCCCCTACAACTACAACTGTCCCAAGTGAGGTTCCTTCAACTTATAAGATCCTGAAAAAATCATGCATACATTGTTCACTTAGCAACTTGTCCAAGGACTTTTGTGGATCAAAAGTGTACTTGATTTCAAATAGTTTTTTACTTAAATTCAGGTAAACACACAGCAAAAACTCCAGTATTAAATTAACTCTCCTGGTAGTTTTTATGACTCCACACTCCAGAGTGTTAAATTAACACTGAAACAGTGTTAAAGTTAATGAGATAATTAAGTGATTAATGTAGCGATGATTGACCAACATTGAAGACACCTGATGTTAACAAGTAGAATCACTGAAGGTGGAAAATCACAATTTTACGTCACCATTATGGAGATCAGTGTTTACTTTAGTTGGGCAGTTAACCCTTACATTTTATATTTTAGATTTAGTTTTGCTGTTTTACCTGAGTTATGACTGTCAGATGAACAAAGAGAAAAGATGATCTGATGGTGCTGGTTATGTTTTAACAAAATCATTAGTTGTCCTGAATCACTGAACTAATGTAGAGCATAATCTCTGACTTAAATGTATATTGATGATTACAGCATCACAGTGATTTTACAGCGTACGATCCAAAAATTTTGATTCAATTCAAATTCTGTCTTAAAAGTTGTTCTGATAATATATATATATATTAGGCACTCACAGAAATCAAGAATCATTGTATGAATCTAAACAATGGTGACAACCATTAGGAAAAGGAAATTACTAAAATATTTCAGATCATAATTTATTCATACTACAATGCATGATGGGAGCCATGAATGAGTTTTGAATGAGTAAAACATTGAATTGCTTTTACTTGAGAAAAAATAAGAAAGTACTAGATTTCCAATGTAATTAAGTATTAAATGAAATTCAATATGAAACATAGTGCAGTAAAAAGTATGACATTATGCTTTGTAATGTTGTGAAGTAAAAGTTTTCCTTAAAAAACAGTCTAATAAATTACAGACACTTTAAGAAATGTACTTAAGCACAGTAAAATACTTCTCTACTGTCCGCCTCTGCTGTGCACAATTTAAGTTGCAAAATTCCTATAAAAATGACCAATTGTTTGTCTAAAATGTGTTTTCCTTACCTTGTCCATGTCAGTGTGTGGCAAAGCACGTTTCAACTCAAGGATAGTGGGGGGAGTGGATGCACTGGCTGGGGCTTGGCCATGGCAGGTCAGCCTTCATAGGAACGGGAGACATTTTTGTGGTGGATCACTCATCAACAATCAATGGGTTCTGACAGCAGCTCACTGCTTTAACAGGTCATTATAATAAACCAGCCCTTGCAATTATTAAAAAAAACTCATTCAACTGATGTGGAGAATGCTTAACCCTTCCTTTTCTACCATATTCCAGTGTTTCAACCTCTGGCCTAATTGTGTACCTGGGCCGACAGACACAGGAAGGAACAAATGCAAATGAGGTGTCCAGAGGTGTCTCTAGTATCATAAAACACCCAAACTATGTTAGCAGCACTAACGATAATGACATCACTCTTCTGCGACTGGCTTCGCCGGTGAGTTTTACTGACTTTATCAGTCCGGTCTGTCTGGCTTCCTCAAACAGTATGTTCTTCAAGCAAACCTCCAGCTGGGTCACAGGATGGGGGACGATAAATTCAGGCAGTACGTATTTCATTTAACTAACCTCGAGCAGAGTCACAGGAGACCTTACTATTGCAATATATGACATTTATTTGACCATTTTATGTGTTTCTCAGTTTCTTTGCCTTCACCGCAAACTCTACAGGAAGTGGATGTGCCTATTGTTGGAAACAGGCAGTGTAAGTGTCTTTATAGTGCCTCAACAATCACAGACAACATGATATGTGCTGGACGAATAGAAGGGGGCAAAGACTCCTGTCAGGTAACAACTCCCACACTTCTGCTTGTTACTTCATACAGTTTTAATGGGCTGTTAATACTCTCCAAAGTTTATATAGTTAAGAATAAGTAGAATGAGGGGTCTCGACTAAAACTTTTACTTTAGACAAATAAACTGAGCCATAGGGTTTAACTTTGTCCAATGCAAGGGAATTCAACCTAGTCAATCACTTTCAAAACACTATTGGATTAATTGCAATCTTCGGACCATTGAGATATTGTGTGCGTGTGTGCATGTGTGTGTGTGTAGTCATGTTGTAGTTTTCTTGTGACCAGTCTTCCAACCATAACAGTGTAAATTTCAATGAAGAATGTTGATCGTCCATAAAAAAGAGAAGCACTAAAATCTTCAGGACATTTCCTAACATAAGAATAACTTGACGCTTTAAACATGCAATTACAAGGATGTCATTTTCTTATTATACCTTCATGTTATATATTACAGCTGTGAACTACATCTGGAATAGATGTGTGGAAGAGGTTACTTGGTATGTCACTAACCTGTTCTTCATCCTACAGGGTGACTCTGGTGGTCCTATGGTCAGCAAACAGGGTTCGCTCTGGATCCAGTCTGGAGTTGTGAGCTTTGGCGAGGGTTGTGCTGAACCCAACTTTCCTGGTGTGTATGCCAGAGTTTCTAACTACCAGAACTGGATCAATGAGCATATCACCACCAACCAGCCAGGCTTCATTACATTCACCTCCAATGGTACTGATGGTGACCTGAGCATCAGCTGTACTGATGTGCCTGCCATTACCACAACTACTGCCCCTACAACTACTGTCCCAAGTGAGGTTCCTTCAATATATTATTCCAGAGTATATTATATATTATAATATATAGTGTTTATTATTGTACTAAGTCTGAAGTCCCAAGCATAGTGCTTTTTCATTATTACTTCAATGGGAACCAGACGGTCCAAGGTCGAAAAGAGAGTTAATAACAGTTTCAGATGCTGCTTCAAATGTCTTTAAACGACACCAGACGATGAATAAGGGTCTTATCATGCGAAACGATCAGTTATTTCAAAACTTATTCCAAAAATGTAACTTTTCTAAGGACAAATGCTCGCCTTGCTCTATTCTGTGAGGCGCGTTTGTAACGTCACGCAATACGTAATTACGCTCAAAAGGTCACGGGCGACGTGACCTTTTCTATAAATGAAAACGGTGAAGAGGCTTGGAACCGGAGACGGAGTTTGCAATCTCAAACAACGGATAGCTAATAATTTTGACTATTCAAGCAACGGCCTGAAAGCCTGTTCTTCCAGTGCTTTACATCGCTTTAATTTTCTATGCTAATAGCCCATTACTGTGTAGTCTAAGCATAATCAAAGATCAAAGAAATCAAAGAAACATTTGACTGATAAATCCCGGTGTTCATTGTCTTTCTCTCTGTTCCTGTAGCTGTAGTGTGTGGACGTGCCAATCTGAACACCCGTGTAGAAGGGAACAGCTCCCTTGTGTCTCCAGGCTTATGGCCATGGATGGCCAGTCTGCAGTTTAACGGCAGTCACGTTTGTGGAGGAACGCTAATTGCTGAACGGTTTGTCTTGAGCTCTGCCAGTTGTTTTACCAGGTAATGGCACTTAAATCTGAAAAAAAAAGACATTTGATTAGAGAAATCAAAATGATTTGATTTAATGGTATATTTTTTGGTCCAGCTCCAACAATGCTTCCGATTGGTCCGTGATCCTGGGCCGTCTAAATCAGAACGGCTCCAACCCCAATGAGGTCTCTATAAAAGTGGCGAATCTCACCATCAGCAATGTCACAGGCGACAACGTTGCAGTCTTGCAGCTGGCCGTCGCACCAAACCTAACGGATTTCATTCAGCCTATATGTTTGGACGTGGAAGAGAATACCTTCAGCGCTGATACTCAATGCTGGGTGGCAGGATGGAGCTCAGGAGCAGGAGGAGGTGTGTTTTGAGTAAATTCTATGGGGATAAAATGTCCCCACAAAGACGTTTATTGTCGCTATGATGAGAACAGCTGATAAAAAGTGGTCTTTTTTGAAAATGCAAGTATAAAAATATTATGTATATGGAAAGTCCCCATGATACATGGAACCCCACATGTGCGTGTCCTGGTAAATCCTACTTTATGGGGATATACCAAATGGATATTTTTGGTCCCCATGAGGAAAACAGTTTTTAAATCATAATAAGTAATACGTTTTCTGTAATGGGTAGGTTTAGAGTTTGGGTGTGTGTATGTGAATGCTTTGAAACATTACACTAATTGGTAAAATTATATTATTAGAATGTTTATCCTTTTTTTCCAACTTCCAAAGATGTTTTCCTTCTTTTATAGTGAATCAAACTCTTCAGGAATCCAAGACCTCTATTGTGGATTGTGAAAACTCACAAAGCGACAGTATTTGCACAAGTTCTTTGAACTTACAGCAGGCAAGTCAATTCTGTTGGTCTATCTATATATTGGTCTATAAAACTATATATATATATATATATATATATAAATTATAAAACAAAGATTGTTGTTTATTGTTAGATCATGATGCCTATTTCATCATCTTAAGATATAGATATAAGATATAATAGATATAACAGTTTTAAATAAAGTATAAAAGTTACATGAATTATTCCGATAACATGGTAAAGTAAAAATTATTACAATTTAAAATATTTGTTTTGTATCTAAATATATGGTAAAATGTAATTTATTCCTGGATGTAAAAGCTGAATTTTCAGCATCATTACTCCAGTCTTCAGTGTCACATGATCCTTCAGAAAACATTATGACATGATTTATTTTCAATTATTTGTATTATGATGATAACAGTTTTGCTAAATATGTTTTTCATAAGTATTTGATAAAAAGAAAGTTCAAAAGAACAACTTGTATTTTAAATAAAAAAAAAATCTATTATAAATGTCTTGACTGTTATTGATCAATTTAAAGGAATAGTTTACTTTTAAAAAAACTTTTGCTGATAATTTACTCACCCCCATGTCATCCAAGATGTCCATGTCTTTCTTTCTTCAGTCGAAAAGAAATTTAATACAAAATTTAAAAGAAATTTAATTTAGAAATTTAAATTCTGGAATCGTTTAAAGCCCTTTGAACAGTTTGCACTGAAACTGTCTTTTGGACCTTGAACCGTTTGGTTCCCATTAAGGTCCATCATATGGAGAAAATCCTGGAATGTTTTCATCAAAAACCTTAATTTCTTTTCGACTGAAGAAAGAAAGACATGGACATTGGATGACATGGGGGTGAGTAAATTATCAGCAAAAGTTTTTTTTTTAAAGTGAACTCCTCCTTTAAAGCACCTTTACTGAATAGAATGTATTTATGTTAAATTTTACTGCCAAAACTTTTTGAACGGTAGTTTTTAACTAAACATTTGAATATACCATTTGTTTCTCCTGAAAATGGGTAGTATCTGTCTGCAAAGATATGAAGTGACAAATATCATTTTATGTAAATTTTGTAAAATTCATTAAAGATTTCCCTCTCTCACACACACCACAGGGTGATGAAGGGGGTCCGCTGATGTGTAAGCAGGGTCTATCATGGATCCATGCTGCCGTTTTGACAAGTAGCAGATCCCGCTCTTCTCTCCGTCAAGATGTCCAGGTTTTAAGTAAAACCTCCAGCTTTGCATCATTCCTGAGAACTGTGGTCGGCCCTTTCCCTCCAAAAGTCACAAGTGCAACTACAACCAGCACCAACAATCCCGAAGCTGCCCCTGATGGGTCACAAGCATTTTCTTCCATCTCGTTTACCGTCCTGTTCTTCTCACTTACAGTTTTCCAAATCTTTCTTCGAGGCATCAATTAAGTCTTTTGAGTATAAAGGGCTACTTTCATGACATTTATCAAGTGCTTTTCTCGGCTGTCAAAGCACTTTACATATAAGGGGAATCTCCTCAACCACCACCAATGTGCAGCATCTGGATGTTGCAACGGCAGCCATATTGTGCCAGAACGCCCACCACACACCAGCTTACTGGTGGAGAGGAGACCGTAGATGAAACTAATCAGTATATGGGGATGATTAGGCCAATTGGCAAATTGTTTTTTTCTTTGTGACCACTGAGAGTCAGGACCTCGGTTTAACGTTTCATCCGAAGGACATGAAAAGCTTTTGTGAAGCATATAATTCATTTTTACTTCTGGCAAATGTGAACTCTTAAGATATCTATTATCTCACACCATGAAGTTGTGGCCTGTTGTTCTTACACTACTATTACATTGCATGGTTTTCTCTGGCAGTACCTTAAAACAAGTGTATGGGTAATTTGTGTAAGCAGGCATATAGTTTAAACATTGTATAGTTTCATTGTAACAGATACAAAATGAAGTTGTTCTTCACCAAGGCACTTTATAAAAAAAGTGTCCCAAATCGAGTGGTTCAGTTCCAATACTCACTGTAATGTAGCTTAACCAACAAATACCTCAAGCTGTACCACACTTGGGACACTACTGTAAGTAAAATAAATTAAGTACTTTAAAAAAAATCTATTTTATTCAAATATGAATGTGTATTTTTTTCGGTTGTACAAATGATTAAATTAAAATAACAAATTAAGCTGAAAAAAACAATGTTTTGTGCATTTATTTGAAGCATTTCGCCAAGAGGCAGAGGCGTTGGAATGTGGGCCTGTGCAGTTTAACAGATACTGACAAAAGATCAAGAAAGAAGATACTTCCCAGATAGCAAACAGTCACTGAAACTATGCTAAATCAACATTCCGTTGTCAACATTAAGTCATTGAATCAACATTAAACTCTGATGTTGATTCTACATCATTTAAAGATCAGGTGCTGTTTGACAGTGCACGCGCGCCTCGGGCAGAATAGAATGCAAATGAAATGTCTAACTGGCAAAGCTTTAAAGTCCCCGTGAAATCAAAATTGAACCTATTTACTTTGTTAGTGCACATTACTAGTCTTGTGGTGAACAATTAATCCGTGCAAGTAAATATATATTAAAAAAATGTTTTACCTTGGTAATCTTTAATCGAAATCTGAAAAATTACTTCTGGTCTGGAACGGTTTCTTTTTCTGATGACGTAGGTTTCACAGCTTGGGTGGGGAAACGCTTAACCACTCCCCTCAAACCGTTAGTTTGCTATGAGCAAGAGATGGAGAGGAGGAGCGCTAACCCTGCCCTCTGTTCAATATTCCGTTTCACTTGGAAATACGTCACAGCACTGGAGAAAAATCGTTTGCAACTTCCGGTTCACGGGGACTTTAAAGCACGAGCAAATAATACACTTTTGTGATTGCGAATGGGTGCAGTGTCCTGTGAGTGTAATTCTACTATGGAAGGCCAAGAGGGCCAAAAACACGTGAATTTTAACATGTCAACAACAAGTATTTAACGTTTGAACTGGTCAGTGTCATTGGCTTCTGAAGACTTGGGTCTAACCATTTCTGTGAGCTTAGGGGAGTGTACCGTTCATAGACTAGGCTACCACCATTTTGCATGCTATAGATCAGCTTATTCTGCCTATTTATTTTGTCCTTTTTTGTGTAACCTATAGAAATAATATATTTAAAATAATAAAAAAATAATATACTTATTTGGCACCCTCGTCCCGATCTTTGGAGACGCCACGTGTGGCTCCTGGATGGGACGAGGCAGGTTTGAGTACCCTGCCATCTGTGGTGGTGGCTACCATCACCTCGCCGAGAAGACCCCAGGTGATGCTCGATCAGTGTCGTGCTTTCCTTCCTGCAAGAAGGGTTGGATCGTAGGCTGTCTCCCTCCACCCTGAAGGTGTACCTGGCCGCTATTGCCGCATATCACGAAGCAGTTGAAGGTAAGTCGCTGGGAAATCACGACCTGATCGTCAGGTTCCTGAGAGGAGCGAGGAGACTGAATCGTCCTCGTCCTCCTCTCGTACCCTCTTGGGACCTTTCAGTGGTCTTAAATGCCCTGCAGAGGCCTCCCTTTGAGCCTCTGCAATCAGTTGAGATTAAATTCCTGTCAATGAAGATAGCCCTCCTGGTTGCACTGGCCTCCATCAAGAGGGTGGGGGACCTGCACGCATTCTCCGTTGACGAAGCGTGCCTGGAATTCGGGCCGGGTTACTCTCACGTGATCCTGAGACCCCAGCCTGGATATGTGCCCAAGGTTCCTACCACTCCCTTCCGGGACCAGGTGGTGAACCTGCAAGCGCTGCCCCTGGAGAAGGCAGACCCAGCCTTGGCACTGCTCTGTCCAGTACGGGCCCTCCGTGCTTACATAGACAGAACGCAGTGTTTCAGGATCTCAGACCAGCTCTTTGTCTGTCATGGGGGGAGCCAGAAGGGAAGGGCTCTCTCAAAGCAGCGGCTGTCTCACTGGATAGTGGAAGCCATTGCTTTGGCTTACCAACAGCAAGGTCGACCGTGCCCCCTTGGTGTGACAGCCCACTCCACCCGGAGTGTGGCTTGCTCTTGGGATCTAGCGCATGTAGCCTCGCTGGCAGACATCTGTAGAGCTGCAGGCTGGGCGACCCAACACATTCGCCAGATTCTACACCTCCGAGTGGAGCCTGCGTCCTCTCTTGTACTCGCACATCCGGCCAGCACTGGACCCACTCAGGTGTCTTTGCTTGCTCGCCATTCCACTCCACGGACTGGATAAGTGCGATTATTCCTCAGCTGAGCCTTCTATCGAAGCCCTGAGTTCCTCCAGCACTGTTGATGCTGGCGCCAGTGTCTGTTGCCTGTGCGTCGGCTAGGTGCCTCCGTGTGTATGATTCCTTCTGTAACCCCCACATGTATATTTTCCACTGTAAGCCTCTCTGAGCATGTGTCTTCCCTCGGCAAGCCACCTTGCCTTGCCAGCACTGGAGATAAAATTCTAGCCACCCTACGGGTTGGTTACTCCAGTGTTCTTCCATATGAAGTCCCCTTGCGCCATATGTGTTTTCTTAAGTCCTCCCTACGGTAGGCATACTGCGGCATATTTCCTCTGAGATATGCTCCTCATTACCTTGGTGTTCCTGTGCTAAGTAGGACTCCTCGTCACAACTAATTTTACGACAAGGGATCAGACTTTAGCAGGGCACTGGAAGACAGCTGTGAAGGTGGCGTGATTACACGGGGGACCCCCATTCTCCGTCATCTGACGTAACTCGGAGTAACTACGAAAGGGAACGTCTCGGTTGTATGTAACCCTCATTCCCTGAGTAGGGAACGGAGACATTACGTCTCCCTGCCACTTCCGCTGTACCTCTTGGTAGACGCCTGAGTTCAGTCTCAGCTCCTCAGCGAAGACATAGCTGTGTTTGCGTCAGCATCCTCCTTTTATACCCACGTGGTGAGGCGGTGATATGCTATGCAAATTCCGCAGACCCATGGCATTTCTTTGCCATTGGCTTGTTTTTTAACACTTGAAGAGGATTGGCTTTCTAGGCGAAACCCCATTCTCCGTCATCCGACGTAACGTCTCCGTTCCCTACTCAGGGAACGAGGGTTACATACGTAACCGAGACTATATTAGTGAACTAATGTATTGAATAGTGAATGAGGGTATAGTGTTTCAATGTGAACACAGCCTCTGAATGTCGACTTTGAGCGCTTTTAATTCGCATTATATTCCTGTAGGCTTCTTTCTCGAAAATGCAAATATAACCCAGAATGCATTGTTCCCTATCGAGGGAACTCAACACTGCGTCGATAAGATCGACTCTTTGGGGACGCTCCCTAAGCGTGCGCCTCTGAAGTATGAATGAAACTAATCCAATCCTGATTGGTGTTGCGTCGTGACGTAACATGTGACGGCATACCCGGAAGTATAAAAGTGACGCTGTCACAACACACACTAGCTTTCGCTCTTCAGCAAGCGCTTTATGTTGAAACTGTCTGTCTTATTTGGTGTTGTTTGTCTTATTATTGAAAGAAAGTATGGCCAGTGAACAATTCAAGAGGTGTGTGCATCCCTGCCCTCGTTTCATCACGGGTGGGGACGCACACTCTCTCGTGTGTATTGTTTGGGAGTGCAGCACGCACGGGCAGCTCTCGAGGGGGCTGCTTGTGAAATGTGTGAGGCTTTGCCTATTGAGTGCTGCGCTCCCGGCTGGCATGCTTTTGACGAGCACGGTCAGGCTCGCGTTCCCCAGGGTTCCGGTCCCGCATATGTCGAGGCGATGCGGCGACTGAGATCCTGGGGTTCGCAGCAGGATCTGGCGGAGGAGAGTGAGAATGCTGAGGCATTTTCTCTCTCGCCATCGGCTGATCCCGCAGCCTCTGAGAGTGGTGTGGGAGCCCGCGCTGCGGTTTCTCCTACCCGCGATCAGGTCCCGGTGCTT